TCTCTCTCTCTCTCTCTCTCTCTCTCTCTCTCTCTCTGTCTCTCTCTCTCTCTGAAAAGAAAAGAGTCAAAAAATGCTAGTGGAAATAAAAATATTTTGTATTATAGCACAAACATAACAAGTAAAACTTGGTAACTAATCCATAGCTTCAGTTCCATCTTTTCTTCCTATAAGCATTTTAACAACACATTTATTTTAATGTTGTACTATTAATCCCTTTTTTTATAACAAGGATTTATATTTGCATGTGTTAGGGAGATTAGAATTTAATAACTCCGATTACCTTAATCTATTGGTTTAGAGCAGTCCTGGCAAAGCATTAGAGCTTTAAATGATTTCGAACAGTCAATAGCAGCTCGCGCTACAGGTCTACCACCACGGCTTTAGGGTATCCTGGGCCGAAAGCATTGACTAGAAAGTTGAATCCTAGATCTGTATGATAATAAGCTTGTGGTTTTCAACTTTACAAAAAAACCACTGCAGCACACATGCTCAAAGAAAAATCCTTTGCTGGCATTTTTCTTCTTGTCTTCCTTGTTCTCTTTGAGAAAGGTACTATCTGCAGCAGTTTTTTTTTTTTTTTTTTTTTTTTTAAGTTGGCCAAATAATCTCTCTGAGATCTGAGTTCTTTCTAATTACGACTATAATAGTTTTATAAATTTAGAACAGGATAATAACTGGACTTGACAATGGTGGTTGTGACCGTTCTTATTACTATCCTAATGACTAAGGTGGATTATTATCAGAGGTTAAATAGGTGACAATGGAAAAATATACAAATTAGACTATGCAGAAGGAATATGTTTATTATTTTAGAAAATAGTAACAGTCTACAACCCCTCATATGTGCATATGACTAGGCAAAGGATATGCAAGTGTGCTTGCTGGGAGGGAAAATAATTGTTCTGACATGGGCACAGGGGACATGGGTTCCAATCACACCTGTTTTTAACTCTAAACTGCTATGCAGCTTCCCTCAGATGAAGTTTTCAGAAGCAAACAACAGATAAAGGATTTTGATCATTGCTAAGATCCTTCATATTGCCAACATTTTATGATTTTCTCTTCTCTGCTCCAATTTTTCTCTATGACCTACTATTCCAAATTATTGTTCACAAATTCATATGTCATGGTGTTTCTTACAAGTGTTGTGGCCACAACCTAACACTCTTGGGAAGAAAATTAGTTTCTACTTCACTTTTATTCAAGAGAAGTGAGAAAAGACAAAAGAGGAAGACAAGCAACTCAGCAATCAAACAGGAAAATAATAATCATAAACCTGCAAAATTATTTTTGTAGTTTCTTTATGCTTTCCAAAATTATTTCATAGACAATTTTCTTCATCTTTCAAGAAATGCAAGACACCCCAGGAGGTGTTTCTGTCAGTGGGAAGAACTGTTCAGTGTAACCGAGTCACTCGGGCTCCAGGTGGAGTCTAGATTCCTTTCCTCACAGACTGATCTACCAAGGAGATTCTCCTTTATAAGAAAGCTCATTGGAAGTGTTATAAATGGGAAAAATACCCAAGGACAGCTAGCTATCAGCACTGGTGTTATGTACTGGGAATGTGCTTCAAGCCCACAGGATCAGAGAGTACTATTGCCTGGACGCCACCTTCTCCCAAGCCTTTGTCTCATCCCCTCTCCATGATCCATTCCATGTCTCCCTCTGCTCCTTGTTCTCTCTTCCAGTTCTCGTGACATTCCAAACGAAGCTACTGACCGTGTGTACCCCCACATTAGCTGGAGAGAATCCTTGGACAAAGCTTAATTAAAGAGGACTGTGACACTGAACAGTAAACCATGAAGCATTTGGACAGTGAAAGAATTCACACTGATGATAGCAAAATATTTTCTTATATACAGCAAACTGTATTAAAGATCTTAAATCACTGTGCACTTTCCACACTCACTTTCCGGCAGCCTGTTTCTTCTTCTACTGTTCCTGGAGCTTGGGTTTGGGATTTCATCTTGCAGATGTAACCAAGAGGATGCTCACAAGCCCTATCTGCCCAGAACCCATCCTGCAGAAAACCAAGGGAAAAACAATTATTTGTTGCCTGAATTTGATGCCATTTCCTAGTAATCATGACTCCGAGAAGGAAGACTACATCTAGTAGTCAATCCTCCAAGCAGAGTAATATTTGTATATTACAAATTTGATGCTCCACTCCCCAAATAATGCTTGTTTCTTTTGTTTTATTCTTCTTTGTTGAGTAAAATATTCATTACAACTTACCATTTTAACTATTTAAGTATACAGGTTGTCCTGCATTATGTACATTAAATTATTATCTTCACAACTTTTTCCTCATGCTATAATGAAATTCTTTACCTATTAAACAACAACTTCCTATTTTTTTTTCCAACCCCTGGGCAACCACATTTTACTCTGTCTCTGAATTTGACTTCCATAAGTATGCAATAGAATTAATATATACAATTAGTATCATTTATATAATACTTGTTTCTTAATCTTCAACACTAATGACTCTACCCACCCTCCTAACTATGTCTCTTTTCAGTTCCTTAACAGAATTATACTCTCTGGTTTCTTCTAACTACCTTTAACATCTAGTCCTTATTAGTTTTCCACCTATAAGGATTAAAACAGTAACAAAAATAGCAAATATAAATTATTGTACAATAAGTTTGGACTGGGAACAGTGTATAGTATTTGTGCTAAGCCATTTAATCCTTATACTCACATATGAGCTAGGTAAAATTATTAGCCCCACTTTACAAAGAAAGGAAAAAGTCAGGAAGCAAAACCTAGCTTCTTAACCACCCTGTGCATCATCAATAATAGATAATTCAATGCTATGTCTCACTCTAGTCATATTAGGGACATGGATGCAATCATTTTATGCAACATCTCCAAGTAAACTGAAAAAAATCAAACATAGCTGCACAAGTACAGACTCCAAGGTGTGGAACAGACCTAACTACATTTACATTTTCCCAGAGCAGTCAAGTGAAGGTAGAGCCAAATAGAAACAGTATCAGTAATAGTGATGAGCTAATTTGATCCTTAAATCCAATGATGTTCCTGCCTCCTGTCTTTGAAATAGTCTCCCGGACCTTGTGATTTTTGCTAGACAATGAAAGAATCTACAGGAACTGAATCTAATTACAGTCTCTGATTTACATCAATTGACCTAAAATCGAACCAATTCAACTGTCAGACACCCTCCTTGGGACAGAAGACCGCCCACTGCAAGGACATCAGGGAACTGCTCACCTTGCCCTTCATCACCACGCAGTCCTCCTGCCGGTTGTTCTCATGGCTAGGCTCTCCACGCAGCCACTTGGTAAATGTTACAGGGGTCCCATCGCTCCATTCAAAGAACATTTGAATCTTGATGTCATTTAAACCAATCCACAACTCATCACTTGGCTCTGAACAAGAAAACATCATAGAAGCACTATAGACCAAGGTTACTTTCCAAGGTTAGCAGGTCATCCAGAAAGCAAAGCTCTCTTCTTCATCAAGACAGACCCACTCCCTTGACCCCATAACTGTCACTCTGGGGTGTTCCGCTGACCTCCATGCCAGAGGCTCACGGCCTCTACACTGTGTGTTGCCAGTTTTAGATTCTGAGTTATAAATATCATTTTTTTAATTGCACTATTACAAATTATATCTCCTGAGATTTGGGGAAATGAAATTGAGGTAAGTGTATTCTTACCACCTATCTTGTGAAGCTGGTTTATTTTTATTGTAATCATAAATAAGCTTATCATGCCAATTCTACTCATATTGTTGGAAATATAATTCCTGTATATAAAAACCTAATTGATGACTACTGTATTTTACAAGTACTTTAAAACAACAAAATTAAAATCACTTCAATTTTGCTGGCTCTTGCTATCAAGTATATCCAGAAGCTTCCTTTAGGGCTTGATCACTTTATTAGGGCTAAAAATGATCTAAACAGTGCAAGAGCAATAGACTGACATTTGGCATTTACTTATTAGTCTACAGACACAGATTAAACTATAACTCTCACAGAAAACTGCAAAATGCCAGCAAAATACAAATGCAACCATACAGATTTAACATGTGATCATTTTGTTTTGAAATTTTATAAGAAAAATTATTTATAAGCAGTTATAATTCCAAAAAATTCTAACTGGGACAACAAAAATGAGACAAAATACAGTGATTGAAAAATCTAAGATTTCAGGGCTGAAAAAATAACATTTCCAAATTTAAAAATTAAGGAAAAAATATAATTGAATACTTACTTAATTCTCATGACTGGGAAATCTACCATGAAGGTTTGATGTGTAATCTTTCAATGGTAAAATTACCTCCAAGAGTGATAAAAATAATCTTTACTACGAAGTGCAAAAAAGTCATACTTCCAGAGAATTTTTCTAAGTCATTTAATTTCTTCCTCCTAAAAGTTGTCACTCAACTTTGCTTTTGGAGAAGTCCTGGGCTGGCCTTATGCCAACGGTAGCAGATGTTTCCAGTGTCATGAAAACGAACAACACTGCCAGGAGGACGCCCTCCCCTTCACTTGAGCTAGCAGATCAGGGTCTTCTGAACAACACACAGAGGCTTCGAGAGACCCCATGTGCCACCCAGGGGTTTTGGAGGAAGACCAATGTAAAATAATAAAATACTAAGTCTACTCCACATATTTTACCGCTAAACTGTTCTCCCCCTACCGAGTTTGTAATTCCTCAACACACTCTTGATCCTACAAAGTACCTGATGAGTGAGTGTTGTATTCTTAGACTGATTTTTTTGTGACTGTGTTCAGGAAGTTGTGTTAGTCGGGGAACGTGTAGCTTTGTGTGCAGGCTCGTCACACACCAGTACGCACAGTATATTTCTATGATTAGTATAAAACGAGCAGAGACAGACTTTGGAAGGCTTTTAGTCTAGAAGCAATTGTTTTAATTTTACAACTTGATCTTCACTAAAGTTCTTTTAGGTACGTATTATAAAATTGTAATTTAATAAATATATTATTGGTTTTAATAAATCCTTTCTTAAAAGTGGATGATTTTCTGATTCATTTACAAATTTTCAAACTGAATTCCAGACTACTCTTCATCATCCAGCTCCCCTAAGTAATTATAGCAATAAAATAAATACATGGTTCTTTTGGCATTGTATCACATAATAGAAAGTGCACGAGATTTGTCCTCTAGTGTTTCAGGTTTCAACTAATATGGTTTCTCACAGACTCGTTTGCAAGCTTGATGAGCGATAGCCAGTGTCATGGTACCCTTAAGTAACTGTTATTCAGATATATCCACTGTGATTATATTATTGTTTAGCCTGAATTTCCCAGCCTAATTAAACATAGAATACTTAAAATTATTGACAGGCTGCAGGACACAGTGGAGAATAGTGTCCCTTGGACACAGGTACAAAAAGCAGCAATGTTTGGGGTGACTTCCAAACTTAAATGGTATTTGTTTGCTACCACTCCAGTTTCTCTCATCAGTTTGTTAAAGTTCCCTCCCCCATCAATTTTCAGGCTGCGTCAGGAAGCTGGCTCCTCCATGGCTGCCATCCATTTCCTCTTGTTTTGCTGGTGGAAATGAAGGACAGCTGCAGCTACTCAGCAGCCGCCTGGGTGGAAGACGGGAAGCGTAATCATTTCATCAGCAAGTAGGGCCGAGAGCCCGGGACCGCAGCGGTGCCTCTCTGCCTGCGCTGCGTCGGGACGTGCGTTCCCATTTCACGTCACCCATCTGTTAGATGGTACATTTTCTAAGTATTTCTTTTTTAAAATAAATGTTTGCAGTATGTAATAATTATATTTATCAGGGAGAGTTGGTCTATGTCCATAGCACACAATTCTCCTTCTTGTGCTTCTTTACCGCTCCCAGCCCTCGCTGCTGCTTTCAGCTCTTGGTTTCCTTCTCATCTACAAAAGCTCTATCTCCATGTCTTTCTCCAATTCTGTTCCTTCACCTCCCTTCCCTTCCTCCCTCCCCCATCCCTCCATCTCTTGGTCCCCCTTCCACTTGAGAAGATGTCTGTGCTTCCTATTATCTGTCTTTTCTTGTGGTCTTCATATTCAGGTTTGTCAAATATGATAAACCACGTGATACTGAAGCTTTTGTGCTGACTGATTTCACTTAACATTACAGTCTCAAGATGTGTCCATTTTCTACAAGTACCCCAAGTTTATTCTTCTTTGTGACAGAACAGTACTCCATTGTGTTTAAATATCGTACTTTCTTCATCCATGCATCTGCTGATAGGCACATACGCCATTTCTGAGATGTAGCTGTTATAAATTGTGCTGCTGTACACATGGGTATGCATGTGTTATGCAATGTGACTTGAACTCTTTTGTTAAAGATGCCAAAAGGGGCCAAAAGGGGCCAAAAGCATACACTGAAGGAAAGAGTCTCTTTACTAAATGACAAGGCAGGTAGGTATCTACCTACAGAAGATTGAGCCATGTATTTTTATGATTATATACTTACAGGGTTATTTTTCTATTATATTACATTGAGAGGCCAATGCCTGACCATTACAAAAGGAATGTCCCATTGTGTTCATGATTCAACACCCTAGCGGCAGGGGCCAGATTTTAGAGAGAAGAAAGTCCAAAAGGGGAGATGGTTCATCTAGAGATGTTTCTTAGGAGACCTTAATTACTAAAAATACACATATACATGGAAGTAATTTTAAAAAATCAAACATTTTGTTAAGTTTAGAGTAGATATCTCTGAATCTAGATTATGAGTGGAAAATATTTTAAAACTACCCATGAGCTAATTATATATTAACACAAAACTAAATTAAATTATCTCTTAGTGCTAAGAATCTTTAAGTTATTACACAATCTTCACACTGGAGCCATGACTTACATGTGCTGTTAAATTTATACTGCTACTTTAATTTTTAATTAAAATTGGTGAGACTTGATATTTGTGATTGGGGCCAGGGAAATAGCTCAGTAGAATAAGCACCTGTTTGGCAAGCATGGGGTCCTGAGTTCAATCCCTGGTACCGCAAAAAAATAATAAATAAATAAATAAATAAATAAATGGAAGTGTTTGTGATGAAACTTCCCAGAGATGGGGGAGGACATGACTAGAATGAAGTGTACTTCCAGTCTGCAGCTTATTACCGTATCCCAGCTGGGAGATGATGAAGTCAAACTCCTCAACAGTGTGAATGCTGGCCAGGTCACCACCCTCCTTGCGACAGGCAGTCAGCGCGTCTCTCTGGATTTTCTTCGCTTCTCTGTGAATCCTGTAGCAGTGGCCTGCGTAGGGCAACCACTGGCTAGGACAGGAGCTAGGCACATCAGTTTCTATGGGGAACAGAGTTTGGAAAATGTTTACAAGAAAAGATTTCATTTAAAATCGTAACTCTATGCCACCATCTTATATGTAAGATTGTCCAGAGAGATAGGCAAATAAAAGTGATCTTTGTTTTTCCTTTTCAGCGTGTATATTCACAAAAGATAAACTGAACATATTATATTTTGTTTGTCTCTAGACTACCAAGGTGAAAGCGCCCATCTTTTACTTTAAAATAAAATCAGCAGGAAGTTTCTTTTAAACAAATTTTATACCCAACAAGACAACACTAAGATATGGTGGAATGTCTACTTTTATCTACATCTTATTGTCAGTAAGCCTGTACTATCATATGTAAATGTTAGAAGCCTCGAAGTTTTGATATAAATACATCTTCTAAACTATTCAAATGTATTTTTATTCCATGAATGTTAGAACAACTGTCTTTCTTCAGAGGAGGGACAACACCCAGAGGGCAGGCATGAGAAAGGCCAGCATTGAAGCAGGGGAGCAGGGGGTGTTGGGGCTACTACGAAGCCTTTGCCAGAGTAGCAGCTGGAGTCAACCATCCTTGCCCCTGAACTGACTCGCCGCCACTGACTCCTTCCCAAAAGATGACGTGTGTTACTGGGGCCAGGAAAGCAATTTAGAATCAGAAACCTTTCCGGCAACACTGGAATTTGCTGCAAGTTTTGTGACCTCAAACAAGACCCAGCACACAAGTCAAATTATCCACAGGCACAAAAATTCTAACTGATAGTAATGCTTATCATACTAACATCCTACTCTGTTCTTCTAAATTAGGAAAACACAGAAATCAGTGTGCTTGGAAATGACAGATACCACCCATTGTTATTCAAGGAAATTGTTAGAATCCTCATCACTGCCATAAATAGTTACAGTCTGATTTCATAGCACTGATTTAGACATTGCAGACATTTCATTGTAATGACCTGGGGCAAAGAACAGCAAAGATGTTGGAAGACAGCTTTTATTTATCTGTCTATGCCCCTGAACCCATTGAAGGCGCTGGCACATGTGTGTCAGCAAGGAAAAAATGAACAACTTATCCTGCAGTTCATTTTCACTACCTTATAGATACTATTTTCTATGCTAGTGTATAGATACTCGCCATCTAGCCACCCACCTGGCTTAGAGATGGACTGCATTGCCAACTTCAGGCCAACTTGCATGTTTAAGCTTAATACTAAATGTTCTCAAATGTGCTGCTTTATTAAACGCTCAATTAGGGGACATTGCTTTATTATTCTTTTAATGATTTGGTCCTATTTTCTCTTAAAAGTAAAGATGGAGGCATCTTTGTGTAAGCCCAGGAGCCCGTGCACAGAAGTCGCTTAAGAAAGGGGTCTGTCCCCTCTAAATGCTGAGTTACGATACAACTTCTCCTTTAATTTGTGTACTTCAGGTATTGTTTCTCAGCAATAGAAAGCTGACTGACACACTATGACAAAAAGAAGACATGCAGAAGTATACATGATGGGATATAAATGAGAGACCATTTTGTATCTGCATATGAAAAATAGGATAAATATACAGCTACTTTCTCTTAATTCAATGAGAAGAAAGGTTTGTACTAAGAGTGTTTGGACAGGATATCATGTCTGCATCTTGTACTATGAATAACTACTATGAAGACAACAATATGCAATGTATTAATTATTGTAACTGTCCTACTAACCTGTTTTAAAACTGTCTCATTGCTATTTGTTTCTCAATAAAATTAATAATAATAAAAAAAAAGAAAGGGGTCTGTCACAACACTACGATTCTCTTCCAGTATCACTGTGAAGTGGATGTTTAAACAATTGTATTCCCTTGGTGCAGATTTAGATTTTAAACTCTCAGCAGTACTGGGGAAAAGATGCTAGCATAGCTCTGGAGCCCTCTGGTGGGCTATGTTAATTTTGCTGTGGAGGATACTGAAAATAATGCCAGTCAGTGTCACCCTGAAGACTTCAAACGCACAGCAGATGACCTTAAAATATACTTCAAATCACGGAAGCCACCAACTAAAGTGAAATTCAGGGGAGTTCCCTGGAGAAGCCACAAAATATCACTTGTTCCCCATTACCAGCGCTGTCCATAATGTAAGCCACATATATAATTTTAGATTTGCTAGTAGTAATTCAAAAGTAAAGATAGAATAATTAACCCATAAAACACAGATATATGCAAAAACTAATGTCAAGTTAATGTTAGAAAGTTAAGTCACGGAGGAATAGTAGAGCAAGAAGAATTTGCCAACTGTTTGATGATATGAGTAAGATTATGCAGAAGATTATGCTTATTGATACTTTACAGCTGACGAACGTGAAATCAGCGGGCTAAACAATAAGGTCATGTGACAGAACGTTTCCTCCTGGAAGATTAAAATGACAGGGTAAAAGCTGCAAAATTCAGCCTCTCCAGGACCTGGAAATGTGACACATGGAAAACAACAACCTTGTGAAGAAGAAAAAAAAGTACGTATCTGGAAATTAAGAAAGAGCTAACAGGAAAATCAGCAACTCTAGAGACAAAACTGAACATGACACAGAAATAAAAGGAAAGAAATGGTCTAAAACACTAACCCCAGCAACCATCAGGTAAGCCCTGGAGCAGCCAAACTCCAGGCAGAAACAATGGACCAGGCTGGCAGGACTAGCCCCAAGAAAAGTCCACAATTGCTGTTCACTGCAAACACAGAATAGAGGTTTTTACTCCCAAAGTAATTCTTTCTCCATGACAGTTTAGTGTTCTAGAAAAATTCCAGGGCAGTGCCCTCCATATTTGAAAGTGTTTAATTGAATGGATTTTGGAAGGGGGTTAAGACTGACCTGCAGAACTGTGACACCTTGGCGTTTCTTACTCACCCTACCCAGTGACTGCGTGGGAGAGAGTCACAAGTCATACAGCAGGGCAGGCTAGATACACTTCCCCTGAAAAGTTCAAGCTCAGGTTAAGAGGGACTTAGGTGTCTTAGCCTCTATGGTGCTTTCTGGAGAGAGCTGAGTCTGAAAACACTGGCATTAAATCCAGTGGACAGCTGGACCCCACACACTCATCCCACCGCATCCAGCCAGCAGAGAAATCAGGGGTCTGTTCACTTTCTCCATCTGACAACCCGAGCAGGCAGACACTTCAGCTTGGATGGCTGCCACAGCCTGGGGTGTGTGAACAGGAAGGCTTTTGGAGCGAGGGCAAGGGAGCACCATTTTACAAATCCATGCTTCATAAAGCCGGGTGAAAAAAGCGGTAAGACTAGGTACAGCTGTAGTGAATAGAACCAATGAGCAGACACGATTGGCCAGCAACAACCAGCAGAAAAGATGATGGATGCCCGCCCAGCATTCACAGAAACACAAATGTGGAAACAAAATCGCACTGCGTAGTGACTCACTCTCCCTTCCCCGTATTTGATCCTATAATGGAGATCAAATTACTATCTAGGAAGAAACCACTCATTCAAACACAGACACATTTTTTGAACTCCTTTCTCTTTTTCTTCATTGATTGGGAGGGGGGGAGGAGGGGCTGGGTTTTGTTTTTTTTTTAAATCTTTTCTTTTACTTGTTTTCTGTTTTCTTTTGCTTGATTATTCTTTCATTTTACTTGCTTCTAATTCTACTGATTTCTTTCTATTCCTTAATAGGATTCTTATATTACTTTTCTCTCTTCCTTCTCGTCTTTTATTTTTATTTATTGGTGGTACCAGGGATTGAACTCAGACCTTTGCACTTGCCAGGGAGGCACTTATTCCACTGAGCTATCTCTCCAGCCCCTCTCATCTTTTATTTTTAAAATTTTATTTCTTTCATCTTACTTTCCCTTCCCCTTCAATATTTTGGCATTATTATAAACCTTTATTGATCTTTAGCTATATATTTCACACTATACTACTATTGCTGAATAATTTTCTATTGTTAATGGTGATACACTTGTTGTGTTTAGTAGATACTATATGTAAACATTTGGTTTATCTTTGTGTCTGTACCATTATTGCAGATTGCATCTGAATTGTTAAGGACGGTAGAGTGCTAGCTTTATTGGATCTTATGGTATGTCAATATCCAGTTTGTCTGTGAATCTACCGTTGTTGCTGATTTCATTGCTATTACCAGAGAGGAATAGTTCTCACTATTAACTGGTTTTTGTTGTATGCTAATATCTAGTTTGTCTTTACATTATCAATAAATTTCAGTTCATTTCTGGAGAACTGAATGTTGGGCCAGTTATGATGCAGTTTCCTCTCCAAGTTAATAGATTGGTCTAATCTTCAGAGAAAAAGGCCACATTCAGAATACATTACTGGAAAGCAGATACTAACTAAAGAGATTTACATAATAGCGACAAAGTCTTTCCACTATAATTGACCTACAACCCTGACCAGAGAAATTAAAATTGAATTAAAACATGAGAAAATAGGCAAACAAAATATCCCCTACACTCCCAACTCCCCCACATCTGATCCTTGGGCAGCAATGGGGAAGAAATAAAAGCCAAATAGCTGAATTAGCTGAAGTGATAAAAGAGGAGACATAAAAAGATCGCTTTGCTTGGTGTTTGATGACCTCAAAAATAACTGAACTGAACAAATACTGAACTTAATAAACAACATGATCAATGAGTTAAATAAGGCACTAATTAAAAAGCTAGCTGAGATAAACAAAATGATTTTAGTAAACACCATGACTGACCAGTTTATCAAAGAAATAAAGGCCATAAATAGTACCAAAGAGAAATCCAGGAGATTAAAGTTTCTGTTGAAAGTATGGGCAACAGAAGTGACCAATGTAAGGACAGAGTGCACTCACAAAAATACAGGACTGATGTAGATGACTATATATTCAGAAATACCTATGAAAAATTAATCTAACTGCTTCTTCATGACTAAAGAAGACTCATATAAGATTACTGCAATTAATGCTAACCAGAAAACAGCACAAATGGCATTTAAAAAACACTGTACAAGAATCACAGCAAAATATGTTCCAAATATGGGGGGAAAATT